TCCTTCACTCAGGAAACCTGTTCGGCTGTCCCCCCGGGTTGGGACAGGGCTCCCTTTCCAAAAAGATAGAATTTCCCCAGGAGAAAGATTTCTGTCCCCGTTTTGTTTTCTCTCATCCCTTTGACCTGGAACAGGGATGTGAAGCCTAGAAATGAAGTTAATAAGACAATATGCCAAGAATATGAGACCATAAAATCAGAACGATCTTGGGTCCAGGACAACTTCCTGATGTCTTTTTTCTGATCCTAAACTGCAAACATCAGACTTCTTTCATGAGATAAAGCCCTAGTTATCCAGCTAATGTTAGATTTTTCTGATACTTACAGTTGAGTGCATTTTTAATTCATAGCTACTCTTTCTTTCATTTATTTCTTCCAGTAGGGAGAGAAAGAGAGAGCCTCCCAGAGTCATGTTGCCACGATCCAATCCCAACTTCAGCCAGCCCTGGCTCTTGGGCATGCTTCTGCTGCTATATTCAGACGTAAATCTGGAACCCTCCCCTGTGGGTCTACCTCACAGAGTAAAGCATTTTCCTAATGCACTACCATCTAACTCCCTTTCTTTTATTAAGAGGTGGTATCATAAAACATACCTGTTCTTCAGATTTTAGTTTTATTCGTAGAATCCAAAATAAAGACAACAAGTGTTCATGATTGAGCAAAGCTGCGCCATTTGTTAAATTTCTCTTCCAGGGACTGAAGAGAACTGCATACACTTGGCTTTTACAAGGTATCACTGTTAATAGTGCTATCGTGGGTTGTGCCAAAACTCCTGATATTTTAGATTTAAAGAAACCTAGATTAGGCTAATTGGAGTCTCAGGGGTCCCCATGATTAGGTGAAATTTCTTCAGAAAAAGCTCTGTAGACCGTCACATGGGAACAATTTTAGCCAAAGCCACTTTAGCTTCTGTCTTAACATTCACTTTAATTAAGCTATTAGCATACATTGTTGAGATCTTAAACTGCACTTCAGTATGGTTTTCTTGCTCTCAGATCTGAAAAGGACAAAAAGAGAAAATGCCTCCACATTTTCCATACTTCAGACATTTTTACTTTTTTCATTAGAGGGGTACATGCCTTCCTCCTTAGCTAGACGCTCATTTACTCAGGGCGAGGACCTCAGCTTACTGGTTCCCGCATCTCCTTCAGTGGGTGGCACAACAGTCTCCGCGAGGCAGCTCGTGAGTATTCACTGCGCCACGTGCCAGTCACAATAGCTCGCATTTGCCTCTACTCACTATGTGCTAAAAATCGTGTGGGTGTCTCCAGTGCATTATCTCACCTAACCCTCCTGGGATCCCTTGAAATAAATCATTTTTTTCTTTCAAATGAGAAAGGCAAGGCTTAGCAAATTTAAGTCACTTACTCAAGCTCGCCCAGTTATAAAATAATGTATTGGAGCCAGCAGGTGCCATGGTGGTTAAGGTGATGGACTTCTACATGTCCAGCTACAGTTTGAGTCCCAGACATGGAAGCTTAAAAATCGCACCCTCGGGACCAGCAGATGGAGTAATGGCTCCATCGCTGGATTTCCATGTAGTTGACCGCAGGTCAAGTCCCAGACCCAGTGATTTAAACTCATGCCGGGCGCTTTTGTGAGCATACCCAAGATCCCAAGACGAGAATGGAGGAGAAGGGACTGGGGGGGGGTGGCCATTCCCCCCCCGGGGGGTGATTTCTTGCTTTTTGTCTCTCTGTCTCTCTGGCGAGTGTACATGCCCTATAGCAAAAACCTTCCCCCCACCAAAAAAAAAAAAAAAAAATCACACCCTCTGGGCACGTGTGTGTGTGCCCAAAATCCCAAGAGGAGAATGGAGAAGAAGGGATTGTGGCAGATGACTTCTTGCTTTCTGTTTCTTTGGTGAGCACATACACCCTATAGCAAAAATCTCTCTTAAAAAAAAAAAAAATCAGGGGACCAGAAGATGACATAGCAGTTACATAGCGGGATTCCCACATGGCCAATCATGGTTTGAATCCTGGACCTGGTGGCTTGAAAATCATGTTGGGCACATGTGCCTGCTTGCCCAAGATCCCAGGAGGAAAATGGATGAGAAAGGATTGCAGCGGGTGTGGTCATCCCCCCTGCGGGGTGATTTCTCAAGGTTGGTTCCTCTCGCTGCATCTGTGTTCCTCTCTCTCCAGCAAGTGCACCTGCCCTAAGGCAAAAAAACCTCTAAGAAAAAAAAAAAAAGAAAGAAAACTAAAACCAAAACCAACCAACAACAACAATGAAATCACACCTGGCATGTGAGTGTATGTGCTCAAAAGCCCAAGAGAAGAATGAAAGAGAAGGGATTGTGCCGTGGCCGTCCCTCCTTTGGGGTACTTTCTCACCTTACCTCTCACTACCTCTCTGTCTTTCTCTTGTGAGCGCACACATCTTATGGTAAAAACCTAAAAAACAAACAAGCAAACACAAAACACAAACCACTAATGTATTAAGATTAAAAAATAAACAAAATATAACCCCCCCAATCCCAAATAATAGCTACTAGCTACTCATTATACAGAGCTTATTATGGGATAGATACTATTAGAAACAACTTTCCTATATTAACTCATTTGAGGCAGTAACACTAAGAGTTAGGTACTATCATTAACATTATACAGCTGAGGAAACAGGTTAAGTAACTTGCTCAGGGTCACACAGCAAAGTATCACATTTGTAGAACTGAATTTGAACCCAGGTAGCATGGCTTCGGCGTCTGAATTCTTATGTTCTTAACTACATACTACACCACCTCCACAAGAGCATATGTTTTAGACATACTTCGGATTTTGTGATGTAATATTATAAAGTTGATTATATCGTACTGGAGCTGAGCCAATCCATTTCCTAACTCCCCTCTCCTCCTCCTCCTTCTCCTCTGACGCTCCCTGTCCCCCCATGGGCACTCTACCCTCGCATAGTTGTGCTTTGGGATGGGTGGTGCTATCCCTCCTCGCTGCTGCCCTGTAGCGTGCTTTTCCTCCTGGATAATTCCCTCCCTCCATGCTCCCATACCTTCTCATTTTATGCTTACTGGACATTGGAAACTTTGGGGATTTCTTTTTCTTTTTAATTTGCCAGATGATGTGTGCACTCACCAGAGAGAGAGAAGGAGAGGGAGACGGAGAGGAAGGAAGCACCCTATCAGAGTGTGGTCCTACCACGATCTTTCTCCTTCATTTCCCTATCCCGGTTAGGATTTTAGGCATGTACACACATGTGCCTGGCATGTTTCTTAAGTTGTCGGGGCTGGAATTCATTGACCACGTGGGATCTGGCTCCCTTACTTACTAGGCCATGGGGCTAGGCCAGGGAGGTTTTGTTTTGTTTTGTTTTGTTTTGTTTTTGTTTTGTTTTGTTTTGTTTTTAAACCTCCTTTCTGTAAATCCTAGAGAACCTTGATTTGGACCAATATCTGAATTTGGAAACACAGGGTGTTTTCACTACTGATTTTAAATCTCTAAAACAGTGGTACTCAGCCTTGCTTGTGCACTGGAATCCCCTGAGGAGCTTTTAAAACTTCTCATATGTGGGTTCCTTCCTTTGTGTCTCTAACTTAGCTGATCTGAGATTTACCCAGCACTCTGGGAACTGGTTCCAGGAGAGCAAACCCAGCCAAAGCTGAGAACCCCAGCAGTGCTTCCGCATCCTGCCACTGACATTTAGTTCCAGGCAGCTGTTCACCGTAGGAGACCGTCCCGTGTACTGTAGAATGTTCGTCAGGATTCCTAGCCTTTACTGACTAGATGAAAGTAGCACCTTCTGCAATTGTGACAACCGAAACATCTCTGACTAGACTTTGCTAGATGTCTTGGGGCTGGGGGAGAAAAAGGGGACAAAATCACAGCTGCTGAGAAACATCAGTCCCGAGCCACTGCTAGTAGGCCAGCTGGGAGGGGAATCTCGGAAAGAAGAAAGACTAGAGCTGGGCCTATGGCCTGGAGGTCAAAGGAGCCGGAGCCCACGTGGCCACCCACGCGACTCAAATCCCAGCCCTGGCAGCTGAAAAACATGCCAGGCAGGTGTGTGTGCATGCCCAAAATCATGACAGGATGGAGAAATGAAACAGAAGGAATCATGGCATGACTTCACCCCATTGAGGGGTGCTTTCTCCCTCTCCCTTTCTGTCTCTATCTTACTCAGTGCACACGCCCTCTGGAAAATTAAAAGAGGGAGAGAGAGAGACAGAGAGAGACATCTGTTATTGCACCCTTTCCTAACAGGAAAAAAGACAATGTTGCCAGGGGGGATCTGGCAGGAAACCTTCCTGTCATTGGAGGAAACCTAATCGGATAGTTTTTGTTCTTTAGTGTCTATTTCTCTCTTTCTTTTTTTCTTCTTTCTTTTTTTCTTCTTTCTTTCTCTCTCTCTCTCTTTTTTTTTTTTTTTTTTTTGGAGAGGTTTTTGCTATAGGGTGCGTGCGCTCACCAGAAAGACAGAGACAGAGCGACAGAAAGTGAGAAATCACCCCCTCACACACCCAGGGGGATGGCCATGCTGCGCAGTCTCTTCTCCTCCATTCTCCTCTTGGGATCTTGGACATGCATGCAAACATGCCCGGTGTGAGTTTAAGTCACCAGGTCTGGGACTCGAATTGCAGTCAACTACATGGGAGTCCAGTGATATAGCCATTACGCTAACTGCTGGTCCCAGTGTCTTCTATTTCAAAGCAAAGAGCTGGTGTATTTCTTGGGGAGCGCAGTGGAGGAAGGCCTCGAAGAGAACAGAGAGTTAAAGATATGATACAGATCTTTCTAGCTGATCTGAGGCACAAAAGAAAGAAAGTAAATCTTTTTTTAATTAGCATGAGCAGCGCAGCCCGGGTGAAATATTGTCTCCAGCCGAGGAGCTGCTGCCAGGAGTGGTGAGAGAAAGTGCAAGGGCCTGCGTGCTAAGTGGATGTCAGCCCAGAAGGCTGCACCGCCCCGGCAGGCTCTGCCACCAGGCCGATGAGTAGTGT